TATGAAAATTTCTTGACCAAGTCAACTTTTGTTATTAAGAATCTTGTACCATATAACATTTTGTACATCTCTGGAAAAAAAAAATATCTTAAAACTATAATTAACTCCATTCAAAGACAATAAAGAAAAGCTGATACCAAAAACGAAACAAAAAAAAAAAAAAAAGAACCAATGAAACAGTTGATCTCAGCCGTCAAAATTGATCATCATCGATCGGCTTGTCACAAAGCCGGAATATCAAGCCCCAGCTCCATTCTACAAACTCTATCAGCCGCTTTCCTCTGTTGCGTTTCTTTCGGCTTGACGTTGTTTTTAACTGGCGCTGATCCTAGAGTCAGCTCCAGTTCCATTTCAGCAACTTCGTCATCATTACGAGCCGGCTCCGGCTCCGGCTCCGGATTCAGCTCAGCTCTACCCAACAAGTCAGCCTCAGCAGTCTCCCCAGAAACCAAGCTTTCACTCTCCTGACTCTCCCTCTCCACAACTGGCCTGGCTGCCTCAGACTGATGGCTCAAAGAAGACTCATGGCTCGGCGACCTATTGACTTCCTCATGACCCGATTCCTCTCCTGATCCGGCGGCCCATACGCTCTTCGTCTTCGCCCGAACACTCGACCTCTTAAACCTGCATCGGGCCCTGACCCGGTGCAGATCATTCGACCCGGATAAGTTCTCCTCCTTGTTCACATGCCTTATGTCGTAGGCATTCAAAGGAGGCCCATTTTTATTCGCCGCAGCATGATCAGTCGGTATTTGGGTAATCGGATCCCCCTTTAAAACCGCCTCCACCGCATTCTGGCAGAGCTGCCAACTCCCGGACCACATCAACCCGACCGACCCGTAAATCGGGTTCACAATTCTCCCACATGCCTCGTAGAGTAATGACCGAAATATAGCTGCACTCAAATAAAAGAATTCCGTTAACTACACAACGTTTCAGCTTTTTTAGATTATTAGATGGCTAAAACTTAAAAAGGGAGAGCAGTTACCAGGGCGTATGTGTTCAGGGCCGGCGTTGATGAGGTTCATGAGGCCGGCGCGGCCGTAAAACTTGGCAAGAAAGACGGTGGCATTGGCTTGAGAATCAGAGGTTTTGATCCATTGAAGGCAGGGTCTGATGCTACAGTTTTGACTACAGCCCTTACGAAGAACTCTACATCCATTACAACTCATCCGCATTTTCAACTATTTCTGCTTAAACTCAAAAAGTGATTGATGAGAAAATTAGAGCGAGAAATTGGGGATGGAGATATATACAGATGACTTATATATATGTGTGTGTGAGTGAATGGAAGGATAGAGATGCATGTGTAACTTGTGGGTTGGCCGTGGGGGTAGAAACTAGGGTCGCATGGCATGGCATGGCGGTTGCTTTGGAGTAGGTGGGTGTTTTTGTTTTTAAAATACCAGGTTTCCACATTCATGGAATTGGGGAATGTACCCCTGAATTTCATATAAAATGTCGAATCCCACAAACGCGTGGAATCAACTCTTAATATTATTAATTAAATATTGAAAATTTATACTTGGTCCTCCAAAATCTGCTCTTTCTAAGACAACCTAAATTTTGTTGTTGCATTTTACTAAAACGAAATAAATTGGCAAAAATACAATTTAAATTTGTTTAAGGTCTGTTTAATAGGATTTTTACTTTTGTTTCAATTTCTTGTAGTCAATTTCCTTTGAATATTTTTCAATGGACAAAACACTCTTAGGAAATCATTCAGAATATATGTTCAAAGTCAGTTTCTTAATTTTAAACAATTGTTATCTTTTTAAAAATCATATCAAACGTCACTTTTAAGAGTCTACTAAGTTTGGTTCTCAAGAAATTTATTTGTAATTCATCAATTATTGTTGTCACGGAATACTGCTTACTAGATTGTTATGTTCCAAGGTCCATCGATATCAAAGTCCGTTCAAAATATGCACAATGTAACAATGAGCATATAACTTTTAACATTATTACTCATAAGTAATAACCCAACTTAATAATTGTCCGTTTGATATAAATTTTATGGAAAAAAAAAGATATTTTTGACAAATATATAGTTAAAAAGTTATGAATCTACCAAACGAGCAAAGCTCTAATATGTTATTGCTGACAAGGGCTTCCGCGACACGCGAATTTAATTTATTGAAAGAACGTTTAAAAAAAATATCGTGAGATTGAAAATAAATTTTAAAAATATAAATGTGGACTCTGTAATAATTATAGAGGGGTTTTGAACGAAAAGTTGACAGGTGGCGTGTAATAAGAAAGCAATGGGGAAGGGTGCCCATGCAAATATGAACAAAAATAAATTTGTAAGAGCGCGTGGAAGCCACCTGAAGGTGTCAGAGTGCGGTCGAATTGCCACATATCGCGGAGGTCGAGGTAGTGGTCCCCACTAGCTCCTGGTTTTCCGGAATTTTTCAAAAGGAAAAACAGGCAACCGGTTTCCGGTTTTGGTAGGACTGTGGGCGCCTACTGAACTTATCTATCTATGGGCCACCAACAGGTCCAATCCAGGAATCCTCATCATGATCATGCTTATGCTTATCCCATAAGCTCGGATTTCATTTCATTGCAACTTGGGATATTAATTTCATTAGGGCATGTTTGGATAAACTTCATAGAAGAGCTTTTAACTTTCAAGTAAATTTACTAATAACTGAAAATGTGGGTTTTGGCTTTCGATAAAGTGCATTTTGAAATCAATACTTATTAAATTGATGAGAGAAATGAACAATCATTTTTTTCCTATTTTCTATGATGTGACTAGAGCTTCTAAGTATAAATGAATTATTTTATACCGTTCTATATAACTTTAGCTTAGATTAGATCAGAACGTTATTGGTTCGAGAGCGAGAAATTCTCTAGAATATTTAGATAATTATTATAGACTTGAAAGAGTTACAATCTCAGTTTTGATACGCCAATTACAGCCACAAGCACGAGCCACGTAGAATAGCACTTCAACCGAACTTATTTGTCCTAAGCAAAAGTAGGACACTTGAATTTCTTTATCAATCATAAGTATGCATTCACAATGAAGTAAGAATTATTTTCAACAACCTTCCTTTTTTATTAAAAAGTAAGATATTTACGATGTCGTGAAAAATGAATAATATCGAACATTTCGATTGGAAAATCAAATATATTTGGTTATAGAGTAAAAATTATATTAAAAAAAATTAGCGATCCTACCACTTCAAGCTCAAACCGATCGGTTCACCTGTTAAAATTCGTTTCATTTATTTCTTTTTACCATCGGTTCAAATTTCTAGTTATTGATAATTTTTCTTTTCTAAGTTAATATTTGGATCGATTTTTAAAACATTTGTTATTTAAAAATGTTTGAAGATAAAAAGTTTATTGAAAGTGACTTTCTTTTTTTCTTGCGCTCTTGCCAAACAAGCTCTTAATATTATAACTTTTTTAAAATAATCTTTTAGTGTCTTTAACTATAATTAATCGTACCACTTGTTCTAATTTTATTATCGTTGTTAATTATAATTAATTTTACAACTTGCTCTATTTTTTTAATGTCGTTAATTAATTAGGAGGGGTGCGCTTGATTGGCACATTGAAACAGCTAAAATGTGGGCGGTTTTTGAATTGAGACAGTGTTTGGTACATTGGAAAGGGAAAATTGCAACCACGATATCAAATATTTCATTTAGCAGCAGATTTTGTCTAAATCTTTTATTTGTGCCATTCATAGTACCAAACATTTCAAAATATTGCAGTTGAAGTCCAAATGGAAGGAAAGTGTTAGTTTCACCGTTAGTTGAGCAAAAAATTATCATTGACCAATTCTAAAAGAATAAAATGGTAAATTTACATTTTTAAATAAAAAACATAATTATAATATATTAATAATTAAATAAATAAAAGCCAAAAACCAAACACAAAATCCACTACCCACCACCTTCGCCTTCTTCCCCAACCCTCTTACCCCAAAACCACTAGTGGCAACTATCGCCAACATCGCCACCCACCTCACGCCGACACCACGGCTCCTTCCACCCACATACCAAGAACCATCCATCAACGGTATACACACTTTAAACTTGTAGACAGTTCAATCATTTTCTATCAAAATCCTTAACCCACGATAGAAATCTCACTCTAAATTTATACGAGTAAATGAATTTGTGAGTTCACCGTAACTCAATCTGGAATTGCTTATTGTGATAAAGTCCCTAGGTCTGGTCCTGACTTTGTTAATGGGTAATTGATTAAGGTTATTGAAGCTTCATTCTTGGGTGTAGCCCAAAGTCTGCAACAGGTGGAAGAGATGGAGGCGGATTTTTGAGGGGAGGGGGGGTAGAGACCTAAGCTATAATTTGTGGTAGATTCAGGTTCCTAGATGTGCAAGTGGTTCCTAGCTTCTTCTCCGAGCAAATTCCATTTTTTCTCAACTTTTGGTCGGAGCTATGGCTTCGCCGATTGCAAAGCTCGGGATTTTATCGTTAGACAATAATTTTGTGGAAGAGAAAGGACAGACCGAAGAATTTGGGTGGGTGCTGTAGTGTCAACCGCTGGTGGTGGTGATGGTCTTGGGCAGGGGCGGATCCCGCACCCGACCAGCCCCCGCGGCCGCCCTTGCTGGGTCCGCCGAAAGCTGCAAGTTCTCGTTGGGCTGTCGCCGTCCGCTGGGGAAGAAGAAGGAGCTGCCTGGCCAGGTGAATTCAATTTTCCCCCCTTCTTCCGTTTTAATTTTTTGGGCCTTATTTAAAAGAAAGGCCCAATCGCCCAATTAGTGATTAGCCCACAAAACCAAACCAATTAAACCCAATTCAATTACCAATTTCCCATTTTCGGCCATTCCAATTGTCTGTCCAGCAGAGAGGGGGAGACTGGAGAGAAGACGACATTAAGGCGAAATCGAAGGTTGACGATTCGCCATTGATTTTGAATGTGTTCGGAGGTTGGTGCCTGGTGGA